AACGTTGCCAACATAGGCCAGAATAAGGCACTCCAACTGCATTTGAAATACGTATCAAGAGATAAGGTTTACTGCCTTTGCCTGTAGAAGACTGAAAATAAACAAGCCATTTGGAATGTGCAGGGATTTACTGATAATCTGTTAAATGTTAACCCACTTGCAGCATCAGTGTGCTCTTTGTTCGTGAATTTCTCCAGCTTTTAGCTCCGTAGCAGTGGAAACCCCATGAAACTCGCTGCCATCACTTTGGATGTTAGCTCGCCTGGGTGCAAGGCTACTTAACACTGACAACCACCCCGTAGTCAGGGAAAAGCTCTTGTGTGTCGTAAGCTACTTATTTACTGTCCTATCACTTCTGCGGAAGATAAACTGCTTTGGGAAGGGGCGAGCAGAGACTCTTAAGCCATCGGTAAATTACAGGAGGTACCGTACTTGTTTTTTTTGCTTATGTTCTCTCCATGCTAATAGTATCCTAGCACTCTAAATCTCTTGAGTAGTACATGTGCAATATTAACTCTTACAGACCCTTACAGCTTATCTAATGTCTTTAGGCAAGCCACACTAAAATGCAATATTTCATCATGAAATTGATATAAGGAAGCCAAATATTCATCTTTTTTTATGGTATTTGTTGGAGATCTTACAGTTGAAAGGGGGAGACAGAAAGGAAGACGTTGCCTGAAATGTCGGCTGACTTGGGAATCAAACCAGTTTATTAGGCAGTGGTGACCGCATATTGGCTTCCAGCTCTAACCACTTAGCTATCCGGCAACCCAAATATTCATCTTTTAATGTTGCAAATAAATATTCAACTTTTCTCATAACATTTGCTTTTACAGTCAACTAAGGTGCTGGTTATTTCTTCTTCTGACGAGGTCAGTAAAAATGTCAGGAAGATGATCAAAATTAAAGATGGAGACATCTGGCGAAAAAATTTGCTGAAAATGTTATCTTATTATTACACAAAACAGATGTTGACAAAAGTGCATAGCTGAACAAAAATATATATCTATATTTGTTATCGCATACCCAGCAAATCCTAGCATTTCAAAATCCCCCAAATATTGTATCGTTACTGAAGTATCGTATCGTACCACCATACCCATATTTCCTGCCTTTTTTCTCATTCCCCACCATGCTATTAGAGACATTCATCAGCACAGTTGAAGTGCTTGACATCATTCAGCTTTGTCTTGCCTTCCGACCTTCCTTTCTTCCGGGGTGAAAGGGACCACAATGCACTACAGTAGGTGATATGGCCGCGCAGCTCCCTTCTCCCACCTCATTGTTCTTCAATTACTGAACAAGCACACGGGGTGGATCCGGCATTATTTATGGTCCCTTGCCACCACAATGCACATATAATTACCTCTCAAAAGCTGTAATTGTGCTCATTTCTCATGTCCTGTGTGGACATCCACTGTCATGCCCTCGCACCGTCTCCATGGAGATTGAGAGCCAATTGCCGTTGAAGGACACCACAGGTCGTAGTTCGCACTTTAGATTCAGTAGGTGTTTGTGCGTTGGACAGTATTCAGAGGAAGCTGCTAATTAAGTAGTTAATGTGTTCATTTTTAGAGTTTGAGCTGAATCTGAAAAAAAATTCGTTTTTAAAGGCTAATGTTATTTATATCTGTATTGCTATGAAAATGCAATAAAGTAATCACTTTGTCACTCAGTAGGCATTAATTCATGATTAAAAAACACTTTTCTATACCTTAATCCAAATGAAAATGCATCTGACAGCCCTCCAGTTATTGGATGTGAGGTTGATTGACTAATGATGGAAGTGACTGTTGAGTCCATCACCAGCGTCTTGGCAATACAGAGTGACAGTTTGTATGTGTTTGATCAATGGTGCATAGCTCGGGGACAGAGCGAGAGCAGGGGGCTGTGGCAACTCTCAAACCTCCTTGTCAATCAAAAGGCCCCACGAACCGCACCCCATGAAATCCATTAAAGCCAATTTAACCACAGCCGTACAGCTCATAGCCCCATGAACGCTCAACCCATGGTGAATTAATGATGGATTTTCAAAACTTTGGTGGAGTGAGTTGATTGCTGAGTATTATTTCTCGGACCTGGTGTGTCATTAATTATTATGTGGTGAAAAGAGCTCTCAGTTAGACATGTTTCCAGCATGATTGGACTTTAAAAAACGTTTTTCATTCTTTTTCCCTTTTATATGTATCAACACTTCTGGCACCTACTGATACTTGTATTAATTAGCAAGCACCTTTCAAACAAAAAGCAAGCAACTTTTACACCACCCAGAAATCAATCTGTTGATATTCTAAGAGGTTTTCAAAGGTCCATGATTTTGCCTTCAATCTGAAACAAACCTGTGGAAAGTCTACGATTACAAGGTATGTCAAAACATATTTCTACTTAAGGAAAATAACATGTTGTCATACAGAAGAGCAGCAAATAAACCTAGCCCTACCCGACCAGAGGGGCACATTGTTGTGAAACACCAACAGTCCAACAGCCTGTCGAGAAAGACACCAATTGCTTCTTAAGGCCCATTTATCTTTAGATTTAACCCTGCTTCTAAACCAAAGGCATGACCGTCTTACTCTTACTCTGCTTGGTTAATACAGGGCCGGTTCTAGCCAATTTGATGCCCTAGGCGAGATTTTTAGCTGGCACCCCAACCCCCCCCCCCTCCCAGCTAGAGAATCGTAAAGTAGAAAAGATAAAGATCAATAGAGTATCCAAGGAATACACAATAGAATATAGAATAAATGAAAAATCTTTACACAAGACAAATACACTACAAAAACAGAAACTTATTGAAATAGGTTATATACATCAAAAAGGCTTCAAATGTATTCAGTATTGTATGAACATGTTTGATTGGACGTCACATCTCTCACATGAGCGAGAGACACACAGTAGAAACAAAACACATACAAACACTAACAGGGGTTTCAGGGACGGGCAGTGACAGTCGGTACATTCTTCTATATGTCTGTCGGTCTCAAATCTAAAGGGTGCAATAATGATTTGTATAAACTATGCATAAACAGCGGACACTGTTTATACGCAGCCCTCACGAAGCATACACGGCCAGATAGCTTATCCAACAGTTAGAACCCATACGAGACACAACCTTTATAGTCAGAAAAAAAGTGTGATTATTTTCTGATATTTTACACAAATGATATTATGAATACTGTGGGCCTACATAACTTAGTGTGATTATAAATGCATGTGTGTGAATATTGGCATGCACTTTCGTTTTTATTCATTGTCTCAATGCACTCATACGGCCATTATGCAAATGCTGCAACTCGGCTGCCGGAGGAGAGTACTACCAATGTTAATCGGCAATACTCCTGGCGACTAAAAGTGGCTTTTGTCATGATGAAAATAAACCTATTTGGTTTTCTAAGTGTTATTATATCAATATGACAATAGAGACATGTGCATAAACGACAAAAACAGTTGAAAACATTTTAACCTGTTAAGCCTCAAGCCAGTTTTTCAGGACATTTGACATTTCTAGAACAAATGACCATAACTACACTTCTAAAAGGGGAAAATTAATAATCTTTTTTCTCAAAGTAATGATAAACCTGTGAGTTGGATGTAGAAAAGTCAGAATCAAAATAGATGTTTTCGCCCATAAGAACCCACAAAACAAGAGAGACCGGTGGGGAGCAAGCAAACTACTAACTTAGAGAAAAATTGCAATCTCGGTTATCTAGAGTAGTCTAGGTAGTCCTGTCGCTAGATACTCAAAAAATACTGGTCACTTAACCTTATTTTTTTCCACGGTCATGAGGATTTTAGTCGTTGACAAAGTTCAGTTAAATAAATATGTCCGGGCTTTTGTATCTTAAACCGAGTTGCCAGAAATGTTAGACATGTTGTACGCTGAGGAGATAAGGAATAGGAGTATAGTAAGACTAAGTCATTAATTTTTCTTTGTACTTGTGTTTTGGCCAGGGCCGCGACGGGTGGTCTTAGTGTGGTTCCCCGGCCCCCCTTCAAGGATTTTAGGTAGATTTGTAATGGGTAACCACTTACTCACTAGCGCATCGGTCTTAGAGCCTGACTTCGACGCTATGGAGACCATCGATAGTACTGTCCGATTATACTTTTTGAGGCAGTAACTGTATATTTACTTATACCTAATAGTTCATTAAGTAAAGTTTACACCTGTGTCTGTGTACTATTGGATACAATAATTGCGAGCGCGCAAATAATAAGCCAAAACTTCTTTGAAAAACTATTCGTTGTGGTCGTTGCCATTCTGAATAAAAAGGCATAAAAACAGAGGCATTTCTTTTACAACAACCAACAACAACAAAACAACAGTAAAGCGCCGCTCAAGAGACTAACGAGTCACTACTATGATGACCATTATAGACATCTTAGACACCTTAGAGTCAAACGGGAAAGCTAAGATAAGCCGAGATTGCCAAGTTTCCTCTACAGGTTAGTAGTTTTTGCTGGTTACCCAAGGTCTCTTGCCGTTTTTGCGAGGTAAAGGTAGGTTTACTGGGGTCTCCACCCTCAAAAAAAAGATTTGGAGAGATTTTCCAGGTTTACAGTGAACAAAACGAGTTAGAACTATGTCCCATGAATAATTACACATGAAACCTAAGGATCTTCGAAAATCAAGATATTGGGTAGTAAGGTTCCCACCAAAAAGAGTGATATTCTTTTTTCTTAAAACCTGCCTGTGATATTAAAATGCTAAAAAAATGGATACAAGTTACGACTTAAAAGNGAATACGAGGAAACGAACTGCGGTCTGGCTCTTACAGCTTGCACGCGGTTTGATTGGCTAGCGCTTGTACTGTCAGATTTGCATAAACGGGATTTGATTGGCTGACGCTTCCAGCTCAGCTTCAAAAGTTGAACATTGCTCAACTTTTGAATCCTGAAAATCTTCGCTTTGCTTCCCCACAATGCAGTTCGGCATAAAAAGGGAGGCAAAGTGACGTCATCCCCATTCAAAGTCAATGGGCAGATTTTTTTAAAGCTGCTGTGTGGACGTACCGTAAGACTTGGGTAGAATCAGGAAGAGGTAGATCCACCAATCAGTACAACTCCAGTCCATGTAAAGCACAAGCTGAATGTAGAAATGAAGCCAACCTGTTTTGGAGGTTCGAGGGTTTTCATCAAGGTTTCCACGTGTGATGGCAGCACTTTTTGGTGAAGATGCAGCAACATCCGGAGGGTGTGTCTGTGCACGTTCTCTTTACTGAAAAACATCCAGAAAAAACAACGATCCTTTAGAAACATGGCGGAGAAGTTTCAGCCAAACTGAAAAATTGTTATGTTGAAGGTCAGGCAGTCATATTAGAGGCTATGCTATCCGCCCACCTGGAGAAAGTAGTAAGAAGGAAGCCGTCGTAAACAACCGAGCAAAAGTCTTCTGATCCAAACTCATCGGAGAGCAGGGTGAGGTGTCCCGTCAGCAGGTGGAGGAAGATGTCTCCAAAGGCCATGTCATTGTACGTCTCCACTGTGGGAAGATCCAGCTTTTATTAAGTCATATGGTTCCTGCTGTCAATCCTTTTTACTACTGAACCTACTGAGTAATTACTGCCTGCTCAAAGATTAATACCGACTCCCCATGCAGTGACAGTGCCTCTATACACATTGAATAAAATGTAAATCAAAACAAAAACATTTTAAATCGGAACCTAGATACATACTATACTATATATAAAATAAGGAAGAACAGTGTGTTGAGATGCTGCATGTTGGATAAGTTCTAGTCTGTTTAAGAGCTGTGGTTTCAGATATTATGATATTGTAGGGCTTCTCAGACGTTTACTGGACAGAGGGACAGAGGGACAGAGAGGCAGACTGAGGGACAGATGGACAGACAGAGGGGGACAGAGGGACAGAGAGGCTCACCCAGGGCGGGCAGCAGCCTCTGCAGGGCATTCTTATTCCTCAGTTTGGCGATGTGGAGGACGTAGTACAGACCCATCTCACAGGCCACTCTGTTCTCCTGCAGGTACCTGAGGGCCACAAACACATCACCATCACAGTACCTCTCACCACAGCCTTCTTCACAAGTCACATTTTCTGAGACGAAACAACAGCCTTATTAAAAGGAGCATCACAAAGTATGCCTTGGAAGATGGTTTGAGGTATTTCTCATTACATTGGGTTAGTCTCTATGTCTGCCAGAGGGTAGGTCTCTGTGTCTGCCTGAGGGTAGGTCTCTGTGTCTGCCAGAGGGTGGGTCTCTGTGTCTGCCAGAGGGTGGGTTACTGTGTCTGCCAGAGGGTGGCACCTTTAGTTTGATATGGCCTGGAATTTAATAAAGCTGCTGATGCTTGTGTGTTGGTTACATTGTTTAGTGTATAAACTAAAGAAAATTCAGAGTACAAATTCCCAGAGCTCAAGATTTTTGATTTACACAGATTTAAAAAGGCAGCCAGTTCACAGCAAGTGATGACCGTCTGTCCTTAATAAATCATAAATGTGAATGATATCAGATACAAGCATCACTGTTTCTACTGCAAACTGTAGTGAGGATAACTGCAGAGAGCAAAGGAAGATAAAAGGTCACATCATGTGCATCAGGACACTGTCTCAGTGATGTTCTATAATGTGGCCGTCTCCTCCTGCAGTGCCTCACCTGGTAAAGGCGTCCGGAAGGGTGGTGGGGTATGGTGGGGAACTCTTCTCCTCACCGGGAAGTTTCTGATCCACTGTGAAGGTGTGATCGTCGACAACCACTGACATCATAGCAGGCAGGAAGCGGGTCACCACCTCCACATCCTGAGAGGAGGCGCACAGGAAGGCCAGTTAGTAAAATATATATTACTAAGGCAGAGCAGACTGCAGCGTGGGCAGCAGGACGCCATTCTCTATCTGCAGTCATGTGACAATATAAATATATTAGTAATAGATCTATTACTAATTACAGTCTAACTATTTCAACAGGTTTAAGTGCAACCAACGACCTTCGAAATACAGTGAGAACAAACGAGCAATGTCAGTGAGCTGAGAGTATGCCTGAGGTGTAAACTGTACGTACCAAACGAGGCTCTTTAAAGACCTGGCTGTCAATCATGTCCCAGGCCCCCTGACCCAGGGACAGCATCCTCAGCAGCAGCATCAGGTCGGGACTGTCCTGCTCACAAACACAGACGCAGCTTGATGACTACACTTTGGCTGTTTAAATTGATATTTACATAGTTGACAATATTGTAACTGTGTTGAGGGTAGATTGGTGGTCAAATACGTCACTATACCCAAGAAGTACAAAATGGAAAAAGATAAAATCTCCAACGAGGCGCTCTGAGGCAGCATAGACAGGTATTTTCTATGTTAAGAGTTTTACTCGCTACAGGGTGTACTTTGAGGGTTTGTGACTCTGCAGACCGTTTACATGCAGAAAAAGGGTAATAACCAGAAAAGCATGTCATGGGACCTTTAATTTGTTTTGTGGTACAAACACGGTAGGTAGCTAATGTAGCCCCAACATAAATTATTTGCTCTACTAGTGTTGTTTTGTGCGGTTACCCATCCAAAACTAAACTTCAGTGTTGACGACAGTGCTTCCACTAGATTGTTTCATTCGTGGTTGGACTAGATTTAGAGATTCACCACTGGCATGCTGCACCACCCCCTGCTCACCCTGGGTAGAGAGTCCTGACTCAGCAGCTCCTGCAGGTTCCTCATGATGCTCAGCACCAGGGTGTTACAGGCGAACGGGTCACACAGAATCATGGACAGGTCCCTGAGAAGCACAGAGACTCAGAAGATTAATCATCTGAGAGGAACAGCTCGGCTCCTAAACTTAAACCATCCTCCCGTCTTTTACCCGAGGACTTGCTCCTGTCCTTTCTTCACTCCATCCAGGAAACCCTGCAGCTCTCTGGCTCTCTTCCCGTCCACAAACTTCTCCCGGATGCAGGCGTCTAAACACCAGGTGAACTGTGGCGGGCCATAACAGAAACACAGGTCACACAGAGCTTCAGAGAGGATACAGGGTCTGGGGCTCTGTAGTGATACGATGGTGTCATAAAAGGGTCTCGTACCTTGTGGCAGGGGTCCACAGAGCAGATCTCACTGATGTCCAAGTCATGAAGAGACATGAGCAGCTCTGCTCTCAGGGTGCAGTAGTGGACATTTCGTGTTCTCAGGAAGAGCGTCCGTAAAAACTGCAGCACCATGTCATACAGCTTCACATTCTTCCCAATCATCTGTGTCAGCTTTAGCACCACCTACATCAACAGACGGCTCCATCATCTCACACAGGGGCCCATGTCTCACACACTTTGATAAAGACTTTATCACAATATCTAATCTGACGAGCGGGACTCACCTCCCCTTGGCGCCGTGTTTTGGGAGACGGGCTGAAGAAGTTGTGCAGGATGGAGAGGTCGCTGCTGAACAGAGCGGCTTCCTTCTCCACAATGTACTGCTTCAGGAGGGGGGACACTTCGTCCCCAAACAGAGCCTGGTTGTCCTGCCAGATCTGCCTCTTCACCTCCACGGCACACACCTTGTACAGCTCCTTGTCAGCCATCACCATCTTCAGTTTCTTCTCTGGTACCTTCAAGGAAAGCAGATAATAAAATATAAACGGTGCTCATCATGCTGAGGCAATGTAAACATTTTGATGTGATCATGACTTAATCTGATAATTTCCTCATGAAAGCTCATCCTGGATTTATAATGTTTGTCATATGGATCGTATATGTTGTAATTTTACTCTGTACATACAACATCCATGGCATGTCTCTCTGTGATGGTAGAAGTTGTATTGTCTTTGTTGCTTATCCATTACACCAGTATTAACGGGGCAGTGTAGCAGCAAGCTAACATAAAGTATGAGTTATATTGACAGAGGAAATGTGATGTAATAAACAAAAGACCAACTCCTTTCATCCGATGAATCACAATACTCAAATTGAAGATTTTAATATCTTGATGGACATGATAAAAGACGACAGAAATTCAAAGTGTGACACACTGTCTGCTGATTAAATGTAAATATTGGGTATACCTCATTTAGTCTACTGTTTTCATTCTTTAACATTACAGCTTCTGATGATACTTGCCTTGGGAAGATGCTTCAGCACCTGCATGACAACTGGCTGAATGGATGGCATCTTGACGAGGGGAAAGCTCTTCTCTAGCAGCTCCTCAAGCTTCCCATATCTGGAAGAAGATTGTAAGAAAACAGAGCACAATAGCAGCCAAGCCGGTTCCTGCAGAACTTTGTTTTGTAAAAAGCAACACCTTACCTGTCCTCCTCCTTGCCCTCAGCAATGGTGGCAACTCGCTCCATCAGCTTGTCTCGGAGCTCGTCAAACACAGACTGGTGGAACTCCAGCCGAGGAGTTCCATGGAGGTCGAGGAAGGGCAGAGCGGACTGCAGCGTGGGCAGCAGGATGCCATTCTCTATCTGCAGTCATGTGACACAGCACAGACTCATCATTAGCTCTAGCTGTAGCTGGTCAACTCAGAGACAGCTGCTTATTTGTAATGTCTGATAGCAGCTCAAACACAATAAAAAACACGTGACACACAGCAAGGGTATCTTTGAGAAACTCCTTGCACATAAATGGACCACATATAACAGTGATGGTATGAATCTGTTTTAGCTGAAGAAATTATGATACATATATCATAAATTGTATTTCTTAAATTTGACTGTGGTCAGGGCATTATTTATAAGCTTTTGCTTGTATCTTTTATACATTTCTTAAAAGTTACCTAACAGATTAATATTGATAACAAAAGCACAATTACACAATATAAACATATGGTAATAGATCTATTTCTAATTACACTTGAGAAATACTCACTTATTACACAATTAATATATACCAATTAGGAGTTGTGATATATTCAGGCGCTATCGTGTTAGCATATTACTAATGACCAAATGGAAGGCAAAAATGATGACAGAAGGTAAAACCTAAATGTGTGTAGCTGCTGTAAGAGAAGGTGATTATGATATATAACTACTATATTGAAACCGTTATATCAAAACTTATAACACTTGAACAATACTTCCAGCTATGTGTGTGATTTGCATCTGTTTTCATTGTATTGTGTTGTTACTTTAGTCGAATCTTAGAGCAGACTGTTGGTTTACTGACAGAGCCATAAGTTACATTAAAGTGTGTCACAGTCCTCAGGGTCCGCGGTTGTGTGTGTGTATGTGCGTATGCGTGTGTTCCATGTTTTACCTGTCTCTTTCTAATATGTTCGTTCACATTATTGTTTGTCATACTTTCGTTGTTGTTGATGAAACATCTACTGCAGAGGAAACATTTAAGAGGTGCACTATTTCCTGTTTATGTCCAGCTGTTCAGGGTTTTGTATTTATAAGTTAATTTCTTAACAATAACAAAACAAGTTAAACATACACAGAATGGTTAAGAGAATAAATAACACTTTTTATAAGCAGCTACCAGAGGTGGGAGAAGTGCTCAGATCTTGAGTAAAAGTAGAAGTACCAGAGTGTAGGAATACTCTGTTACAAGTAAAAGTCCAGCATTCAAAATGTTACTCAAGTAAAAGTAGAAAAGTATTATCATCAAATATATAGTTAAAGTAGCGACAGTAAAAGTAGTCATTGTGCAGATTGGTCCATATCAGAATGATATGTTTTATAATGATTGATCATGAAAGTGTTTTCAAAGCTGGTAAAGGTGCAGCTAGTTTGAATGAATTTCTATACTGCAGGGTAGCTTGTGAATTTACTCCAGGTGGAACTAAAGTCTGATTTAAGAGTTCTTTGTATTTCAGTACACGATTATCCTCTGAACTGTAGTAGAAGTCATTGAAATACTCAAGTAAAGTACAAGTACCTCAAAGTTGTACTTCAGTACAGTACTTGAGTAGGTGTACTTAGTTACTTTACACTACTGGCAGCTACATTGTAGATCATTATTTGTCCCGCGGTTACCTGGAACTGGTCGATGGCTTTCAGAGGCTCAGTGCAGTTGGTGAGGGTCTCCTTCAGATCCTCCCCGTTAGAGATCCCGAGCTCCGGCAGCCCCGCGAACATCCTTTCGCTGTTTTATCATCAAAGTGAAGGATTGTACCATGTGAAACTGCAGCCACAAAATCAGCTGTCTTCACAACACAGCCTCACATTCATGCACACATTACGCTCTTCGCATTCAGAGCAAACTTCCTCTTTTGCAGCTTTGTAAACAGTCCGTCAGAAACACCGGCGAGCTGAGCGTTCCAGGCTTCTTCGTGTTCTGGCGGGTGGCATTCATTCATCGGGAAGTGCGCCGGACTCGGCCGTGTCTCAATTCAGGGGTTGCATCCTTTGAAGGGTGCGACTTTGAATCGATGATTGGAACAATTAAAATAAAATGGTTGAAAGCTTTTTTGTCCCAGCCAGAATCCATGTGGTTCCATATTCCAAAGGCCATATTTAAACGTCTAGTCCGGGTTTGATTTTCTTTTAAAATGTGATTTTGAGGTTAATAAGATTCCGACCAAATTGTCAAATTTTCATAAGCAGATACTTCATTATTGGAAAATGATATTTACCTATGAAAATTTGACAATTTGGTCGGAATCTTATTAACCTCAAAATCACATTTTAAAAGAAAATCANATTACGGGCCAAAAGTTGTATTACAAGTATTTAAAAGTAAGCTGAGGACACCAAACCAACTGAGACCTGGTCTGTCCGCTGCATCTACGGCACTGTACAACACACACCTACACACGTACCACTACACATCTTACAGCTCCTAAGCATAATCAGGCTACAGGCCGTTGTGTTTTTTTGTTATTGTGAAGCACTAAAGGTCTTAGAAAAATATCGACTCTTTGTTTGTAGTATCTACTATCTAAGAAAAGTAAGAGAGTAGGCTGTTATACTGAGTGATATATATTTTACACACTGCTCTGCTTTCTGCACGGACCTCACTAGCTGTTCTCTCTGAAACATCGCATACGCTATGGAAAAGCCAGTTTCTAAATATAATATCCAGGGGATCGCATGCAGAGCTGTCCATTGGGTCTGAGATAAAGTCCGTGCGTGCTCCGCCTCCACCGTGCCCGGAAATGCAATCCGCGGAGGAGCCGTGGAGGAACCACAGTGACTATCTCGGTTAGCAGTCCTCCAGAGAGCCTCCTCGACGCTCGATCCTTCGGTCCTCGGGTGCATTTAGAAAGCCTCATCCCAATCACTCCTCCTCGAGACCTTCTTCCCCTCCTCGGAGAATTGACCCGAAATTGATCACACACGCCATTTCGGAAAGGACGTCACCAATAGCTGAAATGCACCACAGGTAGGATCGAGGAGGGGTGAGGGAGGAGGGGTTGCGGAGAGACGAAAGGGAGGATACACGCGAGCAACTTACGCGGAAGTGTTTTCACCACTCGCGTATAAAAGCCCCGCCCCACCCTTCACAGTGGTCGATTTCAACAAAGGAAAACCGACAACTGGGAATATGAGTGGAAAAGCGTCACTATAATGCATAACGGGCCCGTGCCACACTATAGCTTCAAAAAAGCTTGGACTGGGGCGTGTCTGAAGCTTGGATTTTTATTCGGAGCACCTGCGACCCAACACCAATCACATGAATGGTCCCGGCCCCCGGCATACAAAGCAAAAAAAACCGGGGATTTTATGCAAGCAATATATATATATAAAACTCCACAAACAGGCCGAAAACCTACCTGTTTCACCCAGCTGCTCTGCCACCCTCCGCCCCCCCATCCCTCCATGCCTGGTCCCCGGTTTGTATCCCGAGTAAATAGTTCTGTGGGTCGTAAGAACGGGTGATTGCTGACCGTAAATTTCTCGTTGGAATATGAGGAAATGAACTGCATGGTCTGTCTCTCCAAGCTTGCACAGTGGTTTGTTGGCTGACGCTCTGAATCTGTGCACATTGCCGTAGAGTGAACAGGAGATCATTGATTGCTGACGACTCCTCCTCTGGCGTCCTTCGTTGGCTTCAAAGATTGAACATTGTTTTTCTAGCTTTTGACAGCACTGATCGCCGTAGTCCGACTCATGGTACCTACTCAATTCAGTTCGGGAAAGCGAGCCAGGCCAACGTGCGTCACCCTTCTAAGTGATAATGTGCAGACGCGTAGCTAAGCTGTTAAGGAACGGATTGTCGAACGTGACGTGTGATCGGGCCGTCAGTGTCTCACAGCTCCGTCGGGATATTTGTAGGGATGAGGTACTAATGCAATTCATTTTATAATGCTTCAACATTGTCTGTAATTCATTTCATTTAATAGTAGGCTGAGAAGACAGAATTTACCGAGCGAAATCGTGTAACACAATAAGGTGGCGAGGACTACCTATCATACATTTACGCAGAGATTTCATTATAACACAGGAACATAGATTCATCGCAATATATATATTTATCCAGAAATGCGCCGGTTCTAACGGGTTATTCAGTGTAAGCTCTATGAGAGGGCATACAGCCTGTGCTCATGTCTATCATTAACAATCGACATGTCAGGCATTAAGAGTGACGTTTGACGTGTTTAAACACCTCATCCGATTAATCACCATGAGGATACTCCGTCTGTCCTCGCGTCACACTACCTCGGGTCTCACGCTCGATCTTACGTAGTGCGGAGCTAAGTGTATTAGGTAGGATGCGTGAGAAAGGTATTTAATCTTAGCATGTTTTGGAGTAGGCTCGCAGAATTCACATGTCCTGTTGCATCATCCTGCGCGCTGAACAGTAAATCCACATCACATGGGTCACATACCGTGAGGGATCAAACCCAGCCGTCAGCTGACCAGAGACGACATCGACTGACGTATGGACGCAGCCTCTACGCACTCTACACACAACCGGGTCACACGCTGTGTGTGTCACGTCACCACACACACACGCTGTTTACACAGTCAGTTACACAACCACACAAACATACCACTGATAGGCTGCTTGGACACACACAAAGGTCAACAGACCTCGAATGAGTTTGCTTTAATACTGCTTCTGTCAAGACTTTTGCCGGGACATACCGATCCTGTGTTTAGTCTAGAAAAGTAAATGTGTGCATTGTTATTATAAAAGTTGTGTATATTTACAGACCGTTGGACAAAACTAAGAAGCTTATAAACATCAGGTTTAAACTAAAAGAGCTTTGAAACTCAATGAAAGATGTTTGGAGTTTTATTTGAGTTATTCATTTTAACTTCTTTGTCTAAGAGATGCTGATTTTAAACGTTGTTACATATAGTTACGGCCTTTCCTGTTTCGGCGGAGAGAGGGGAGGCGTCACCAAAGCTTGCCGCTATATTTACTCCCTCCCACCTGACAGGAGGGGGAGCCTCGTTGAGCTGCGAGTGTTTCTACAGACGGGAGTTCCACTCCGTCACGGAGGGGTAGGGTCGAGGTAGTGGTTTGGGGATTGGGCCCTCTTCTTCTTCTTCTCTTCGTATTTTTTTGGCGGATTGCAAACAAATTAAAGGTGGCATACCCGCGACCTCCGAGTTCTGCTTGACTCGGTTTGCATTTATAAAGAATGCACAAATGTTGTTTAATCGTTAATGTCAGATATGGTACTAAGTAAATACCATTTGTTCCTGCTCAAGATTAGATTCACCATTATGTTATTGCACACATTACAGGTACTGAGGACAACGAAATGCGGTTATAGGCTTCTAACCAGGAGTGCAACAAGCAGTAAAGTGAAAAGTAATGTACACAATCTACAGAATAAAA